GCTGGTACCCATTTATACACCTGGGTGAAGAGAGGCACTGTGAGAGTAAAGTGTCTTGCCCAAGAACACAACACAATGTCACCGGCCAGGGCTCGAACCAGGACCCCTCGATCCGGAGTAGAGCGCACTAACTATGAGGCCATGACGCTTTGTGTATTTTCCTCATAAAAAAGGTTTGTGGAAATCTCATACTTGTGTTCTGAAGGGGCTTAAGAGGATCTGGCACCATTTTACTAACAGTTTTTGGCCAAAGGTTTTGGTTGTACATGGTCTGCTGATCACATACACTCAAAGGTAAAGCTGTGGCAATACTTGAATTTATGGAAACAATTCAGCGTTGGAAGAATGACCATTTTGCCTGTCTACCTTAAAATTACTAGCACGCTCATTCAGTTAACATGGCTCCTGCGCCATCTCTGGGTCCATTTCAAATCTCCCTTAGCAGACAAGTTACAAATTAAGCTATACGGAATATCACCACCATACAAATACAACTGTTTCCTTATCAGCGGCACAAATTATGCCAAAGCATGTAAGCAGAAGTTGATTTCTTGACTGCATGATCTGTTTCTGTCTTAAAATTCACTCGTATAAATTCTCGAAACTGATCATATTGTAAGTAACCAAAGACGTACAAACCTTAAGTGAAGCTTATCTTAATGTGTTAAAGTTTGAGCCTAAATGTACAATGCTGAACAGTTAAGTTGAGAAATAGAATTTACATCCGGAGGCTTCGCCATATACGATGGCAGTGATATATAACAATCGTTTTGCATTTCAATCATACAACAGTTTATTCCATACTGACGGCAGTTAGCAAAGAGAAGGGTTGCGTAAAAACCCAGGCTAGCTAGCAACACGATAACACACGATAACATGATTTTTTCTCAGTCTCGGCTTCTGTTCAAGTTATCTCCTCGGCTCCTGGGTGCTTTTATCTATAACATCTATCACAAATGCGCAATCGCAAGCAAATCAAACCAATGGCCGTATTAGCCTAAAAGAACTATGACGCCCCATAGAAATAATACTGAGGCCATGAGTAGTGAAATAAAACGTGTTATTGATCTTCTTACAAATATGACCATCGCCCGTAACTCAGTGGGTCAGACACCATTACGTCTCAGCCGGGTCCGGAGGAACTCCCCATAATTGACTATTCGGCCGTGGAGGCTACGCCCAAACAGGGGTCCATTTTTCAAGCTGGAGGTATATAAAAGGGAAATGCTTTTACGAGTTGAAGTATAATAACTTAAGATTTTTTGAAAAAGAGTGTTTCAAAATATCCCTTTCAGGTCACAATGGTGTCCTTTTTCAGTGAGTTTTAAATTAATGTTAAGGGGATTTTTGGGGGTAAAAATTTCCTAGTGGACCTTTCTTGGGTCGAAAGATTTCAGCAGGACATTTTTTAGGGAATTTGAAAGGAGTACCATTTTCTTTGGAAGATACATATGAAAGGGTTACCTTTATGTCAAAAATGGTGTATAGAAGAGGCAAAAACTATGTTGAGCATCTCCTCCCGTCTTTCCAACAGATGTTTTAGACATTTTTTCTGGTAAACACGGCCGACCCGGTCCTTGTCAAGGTGGCCTTAAAATGTTTTTCAAAATCACAACTTGCAATTGTAATTTTCTTGTACATGGCATAGTTTATCCTAAATCTTTAAAGGCTGTTACTACCTGTACGTACTTGTGTTAACTAATTTGAGGTATGCAATTGCATTGAGAAGTAGAAGAGATGGTATCAGGCGCCGATGCTAAAAATCTATCGGTCTGATCTTCATTTCAGCTCTCTTAATGGGGTGAATGCTACTCCATAACATAGTACCATTGTCCTCTTCGTTTCGATAGACACCATTAAGGTTGCTATCTCTACAATGAAAGTACCACCAGGTTCCTTGCACTTGCCGTTGTGCGGCACAGTTAACGCGAGATGGGTCGTTATCCTGATCCTTTGTAGAGAATTTATGGCGGTTATGACGAGCCAGAAAATCTCCAGCAGTGCCTAAACCAAATATAAGAAGAAGATACGTCGTTATCATGATCTTGTGTAGAGAATTTACGGCCATCATGATAAGTCAGCTTATCTCCAGCAGTTCCTAAACCAAATATATCGGAAGACTACAATAAGAGAACGAACTTCATTGTAGTCATCGAACGAAACTTTCGGAAACAATTGCGCTTCTGACATGGTGATGAACATGACAATAAAACGCATTGTTGGAAAACAAAAACTATATCTTTTTACTTGACCTTTCGTATGTTTCGACATGCATCTCCAGAAGTGACCGTTGAGAATAGAAGTAACAACTAAATCTTAAATTTAAGATAGGTAACTAATGAACAACAAAAATTACAGAAGCTGGTAGATAGGTTTCAATTCCCGAATTAGCAGTCTCCTTTATCCTGCAATGTGTATCCGACCGACCGTTTGCTAATATGTCAAAGTGGTCCCATTTTAAGTTATGACCAGTTGACGTGACCGGGTCTGCAATAGCAGATTCATGACAGCTACTCGTGATCACTTTACATGTAAAATGTTAAAAATATATAAACTAAATTTACTTTGTTTAACCAGGGTAACACACAAAAGTCTTACGACTGACAAAGCCGTGGCACTCGAATTCCCGATCGAATTGGAATGTAGAAATGTTGATTTTCGTGGAGGGAGGAAAACTGGAGAAACCCGGACAAAAACCCTCAGAGCAAGGACGAGAACCAACAACAAAATCAACCCACTTATGACACCGGGTCCAGGATTTGAACCCCGGTCACATTGATGGGAGGCGCCACCCGTACTCCCCCAATGTTCAGTTTTTCTACGTTTTGTTTTTCCAATGTTGAAATCCTGGCAGTCCCAACAACAAGCCTTATATACAGCTTTTGGCATTTAGGAACGGTTGATCCTATCTTTGTAGGGTGATGAGATGCGATGAGACATTTGGAAAATAATCCTGAGGTCAATGCAACCATAAAATTCATTAATGCAGGCCTTCAGTTGTTTGGTAATAATTTTGCTTTGTACCCCTGAATAAGGTAGAAATTGAATGCACTCCCCGATCCACCAATACTGCCCTGCTCAGTCTTGAAGAGCCATTTCATGTTTGATGCTAATACTACGACCAAATTGAAGCTAATTGACGTCAAGTAAAAAGAAATAGTTTCTGTTTTCCAACGGTGCGTTTTATTGTCATGCTCATCACGGAAGTTTGCGTGGTTTTTCTTGTTAAGCTACGATGCCAAAGGAAAAGAGTAACGTCACTTATGTTTTAAATTTCCTTCAGTTTGTTAAAACCTGTCAAAGGTCCGTAGGTGCTGTAATCGAACGGTTTGAGATAAAAGAATGGATATTTTCAGAAAGATATTAGCATCGGACATGATGAATTACTAGGAGTATTTGCCCAAGACGTAGCGAAATAGTACGTATATCTCCAGAACCACCTTTCCCTAGTACCAAGGCCCCGTTGCGTGAGAGCGTCAGGTGAGTCTGGTGACGAAAATTCCCACAAAGGGCGGGAAGGCGGCGGAAATGGGTTCTTGTCTCTTGCTAATTTCTCCCCTAAAAACACCCGCCTCTCTTACAAGCTGATTTTTTCGGAAAAAAGAGAGACAGAGAGAAACAAAACAAAACTGCAAGCAGCTTCCCTCAATTCGCTGATCAGGGGCGCTTTCCATTCAACCAGATCTTCCGAAATTTTCGAAACAGAGAAAAATGGTACGGAAATTTCCTGGAAAAGGTTCCAAAAAATCCGTGAATGTTTGAATTTCAGAAAAGCGAAACATTCAACCAAAAATGACGGAAATTATAGGATGAAAATCAAATGGAACGGAAATTTCCAGGAAAACGTTTAAAAAAAATTGGGTATACCTTAGGGGGTTGTCCTCTTTTTCGGAAATTATGTAAATTCGCAATTTTCTATTGAGCGCTTGTTCTTTTGGCCGGGATCACAGCGAGTTGGACAGCCCACACAAAGGTTACTGCACACAGTTGTCCGTTTCGTAAACGGTCGATGCCATTTACGCGACACATTTTTCTCTACTAAATTAAAGAAAAGAGAATATTTGTAAGTAACCACCCAGTATCGTACCCGGAACCGTTCTCTGTTTCCTAACACAACACTACCAGGTTGATCCGCCAAATCTCCGCAAAATGTAATCATGAAAGGAGACTTTCTTAAACATTAATGACAGAATTGCCCCAAGCATCAAGTAAAAGGTAACCGCAAGCAAAACAGTGTGAGTATGAACCATTAAGCATTTGGTGAGAGCGTTATACTCCATCAACAAATTGTAACCAGTTTCTACATTGTCCAGACCTAAACTAAAGCAGAAATGGCGTCGTCCATTCTGAAAGGCTTGGTTACCAATGATGGCATCGAACGGAAATCAGCTACGGCGACACGTATTCGAAATAAGATTAATATTCTGCTTCAGAAACTTGCCACTTGTCTTTCAATAAATACTAACTACAGCTAAATTCGCCAAGAAAGCGTTTAATTTCAATAATAATGATAAAAAAACCAAAACAATATCCCCCATGGTGTACAGTTGTTTTGCATAGGTTGGCTAAGAAATGTACGAGGATTTATAACGCGTGCAAAGGCCATTGTACCACTCATTAGGGAGTTTACGAAACCACGACGGCAACGGCAACGGGAACATCAGAATTAATGAGCAACAAAAGAATTAATGAGCAGAACAATGGCTGTGCACGTGCGTTGTAATTCTTGGTACATTTCTTTGCCGTCCTCTGCAAGACTACAACGTGAAGTGACCAAATTTTGCGTTGTCTGGAGAACGTGAACCACGACGGCTAATTTGTTACATTTTTATTTGAAATTTATCGTCATGTTCTGGAGTTAGTTTTGCGATAGTTTTGACAGTGATAAACAAAGTAAATGACTTTAGAGTCTCGCGAGATTCGTAAGTAAAATATAAATTCGTTTTTTAATAGACGTTATCCTCGACGTCGCCGTCGTGGTTTCGTAAACTCCCTAATAATTATAACATGGCGCGCGCTAGTCCTATCTAATTCCTATTGAGCCATCATGAACGAAATCTCTATATACGCACGGCCGTGCGTAAATTAGATGACGTGTGCCGCTTCAATTTATCTGCAAAATTTCGGCTGAGTTTAGTGTGAGTTTCTTTTGTTTAATTTTCGGCAAGGTGAAGATTATTTTGAAAAATCCAAACTCTACTTCGAGCCTTTGATGTTTGCCAAGCTAAGATGTTTACTTAAGGTCACTCCGCTGAAGTAGAACCTGCACTGAGATTTTTGTGAAACTTTGCCTATCGATTGTTTATATTATAGGAACTTAAATTTTGAAATAAAAATGAGGGGTTCCCAT